TCAACTGATAAATAATTACCAATATCAGTGATGCATTATTTTGTATTTTTAGCCTCACGCATTGTTTATTTGTGATATTATATTACGTGTGATTGACTGTTTATGTTACAGCCAGCCTACAGTAGTTTGTACTTTTAGCATTGTGGCTGTACGTATGTAGTCTGTAGAAGTAACGTCACTACGAAGTCATTTACAGTAGGTCAGTGTAGAACAGTAGTTGTTACAATGGCATTTAGTAAGGCAGAAATTTGTGACATGATACTAATTTACGACATTGTGGTCAACAACCGCACCAAACAATTAGCACATTTAAATTAAGTTATCTTAATCTCGTAACCAAACAAACTAACTTTCGTTTGTCAGATATTTGAAAATCTTGATGTACTATGATAAATCGAAAATAACAACTAATTACTTAGTTATTTTGTTCAAAAATTACATTTCTTAAATTTGTAGTTAGGATATCATACAATAACTGACGTAACAGGGCAATTCTGAAGTCAGATTCGGAAACCACCTAATGTAAATCAGAAATGATATCTCTGGTAGTGATCGATGTTAACCAGTATAATTGTATAAGCCCAGTGACCTGTCTATTTCTATAAATTATAAATGTCTAGGAGAAAATAAAAGTATTATTGAATTGCACCTTTAAACTTGAATTTTAGAAACAATTGTAACGTTAGGTAGAAGAAAAAGGAAAAGGGCAAAAAAGAAAATATAGTAAAGATAAAGAAAAATTTAAAGGTGAGATAATTGTATGTATCAGTAATATAATTTTTAGATTAACTTCGTCCACTACAGATAACTTCAAATTACTGAGGAAAAATTATTGTTGCTGTCACTCTCTCGCCGGGAATCGAACCCGGGCCAATGGTTTTATGCATCAATATTAAACCACTAAGCTACGAAGAGGTGACAAAAAAAATCAAAAGGAAGATTAGCAAGAGGGTATGTAATGCAGGAATATTTGAAGGGATAGCAACATTTAGAATTTAAATTTGCAATGGGAATAAATACCGATTGAAAATTAATGAAATTCGAGTCACGTTTTGAAAGAGAATAAAACAATGAACCGGTGCTGAAAGTTAATAAGATCAAAGAGCAAAGGGATTGGTGGCCTTATTAATCAGACTCTTGAAAAAAAGTAATAGAACAAGAAGGGATCAAGGTACAATATGATTCAAATGTAATATAAAGGTATTAAAAGAATTTCTTTTTTACGTTTTTGCACTGCTGTGCCACTTCTTTCGTTCGAAATAAAACTCGAACTGTATTTTTATGTTTATTAATAAAACAACTTCACTAAAACTAGTTAATAATTAAAATTAATAATAATGATAATGCTTATGTTTATGTTGATCGAATATTCGTGATTTTTTATGTGATTTGATGATAAATTGATTACGTTGATGGATCGTTATGACTGTTCAAAGTGCAATGTTATTTTCCATATTTCCATATTTAAAGTTTCTTGTTTCCCTACTACTATTTTCCCTCCAAGGGGGTGGTAACGGTACCTGCTTGGGTATCACAGAAGTATACGTCTCAAGGCTATTTGTTAATATATGAATATTAATCAAGGGTGAATATTGAAACGGTTATTTATGGTATTTACAACCCAAGCAGACCATGGGCTAGGGTAATAAACCGCTGTATCCAAAACAGTCAAATTACAATGAGTTCAACAGAATTATTGGGGTTTTTTATTTTTGTGATTTGTTTTAAAGGTATAGGTAGTAGGTTGTCACTGAGGATGATAGGTTTTTAGGTAATTAAAGTTAATCTAAAGGGTCATATTTAGTTTTTTAGCTGTAAAAGAAGAAATAAAATTTTTGTTTAGTGAATAGATGTTGTGATAATGTTATTCATGGTAAATTAGAAAGAGGAGACTGTGGTAAATATTAATTAAAAATTAAAAGGAATACTCACCC